AACACACAAAACCAGACAGACAAGTCCCCAAGGAAATGATCATTATTATGTTTCACAGGTATTGGTCCTTCATCTTCTAAGCACTTATATATTTTTCTCTTTATGCTGTTAGGCATTTATTTTTATCACAGATGAAATGCAAGTGTGAATAAATAAATGTTTTATCATTTAATACTCCCCCCCTACATTCCTTTAAATAGGAAAAAACAAAGAGCTAAACTCTTCTCTTAGCCTATTTGCCCATAGTTGTTTTAAAACAGACTGCAACTTCATCTTCCAAAATCATTCTGTTAAATCCTGGTGTACCAATTCTATTGATCTTGTCAACGTATTCAAAAGTTGAGGCTGATAACAGGGTTGAAGGCAACTGAGAGGGAACTTCTGCAAACTGAGCGCCACTGAAAAAATGCGCAGAGCCAAATCCTGTCAAGTTCCTTCAGTGAGAGTTAGGGGACTCTCACCTATTGCAACTGATCCAACGATGGCCCTTGGCCCATTTCTTCCTCCCAGTATGGCAACTATTAAGGAACCACTTGTGATGGAGTTCCTGGGGTTTTCTTTGCCTCGGACTTGAACCAAACTATAGTTAATCATGGAAAACATACCTCCCCAAACTGAAAAGCTTCTTCCCCTGGTTTTAATCACTATCAAACTCCCTCAGAGGCTGCAGCTGACTGCCACCGGGGAATCTGGAAAACCTTGGATCGCTCGAAAGATACCACCATCTATGGGGCCCATCGTAAAGGCCCCGCCACAGTCCTCAACAATTCACCAAGGGCAAGGCTCTGGTATAAACCCCATCTTGACTCCGAGATCTGACTTCTCTTGTTGCGACTGAAAACACCAGAATGTTAATCCACCTGGCGTGATTCGACACTGCCTTAGTTATCTCGCACTGTTGTAGCTGCAGTACCCAAAGTGCGTGGTCTTAACTCACAACTTCGTTTTCTCCGGGTAGGAGGCTCGGAATTTGAATTCAAGGCACCGGCTTTCTCTCTGTGCTGATGGTGCAGGACAGTGCATAGCACTTCTGCTCCTAGGCAAACTTTACCTGGCTTGGCATCTCTTCCTGGTCTATGCTTGATCGGTTACATTTAATCTCTTGGTATTTCAAAAGACATGGACTCAAGATACAACGAACACGACACTTAATTGACACAACAAAGATAATCCATTCCCAAATGGGATTATTAACACAAACGTAGAAACCCCACTGCCCTGGAGTCAATTCTGACTCACAGAGACCCTATAGGGTTTTCCAGGCTAGCAACCTTTACAGAGCCACATAGCTTCACCTTTTTGCCACAGAGTGCCTGGTATATTGAACTGTTTACCTTGCAGTTAGCCGACCAACGCTTATCCATCCACACCAGGGCCTTTTAAACACAAACATAGAGGTTAGGATTTGCAATACATACTATCAGTATAGGCAACTTCATCCATACAACTGCACCTTCTGCTTCTCCTAAGTGCATATGCTTGCAAATGTAAAACACCATAATCTCAACAGCCTTAAATCAACACCAAATCCGATCATTGGATCATTTCAATGAAGACGTGAGTAAGATTTCAGATGAATGCCATCTTGGGTCAAAGGGCTGCTTCATAGTGAACCTGTGAAATCCAGATTAATAATGACCTATTTTTCAAAGAACTGTGTTGGCATGTACAGAAAAACAAAATCCTCATACTGTACCAATAGGTACCATCATAATAACAGAGAAGATTGACGTTGTCAAGGATTTCATCTTGCCTGGAATCACAATCAACACTCATGGAAACAGCAGTGAAAAAAATCAAACAATTCACGGGACCACTTTAAAGGGTTGAAAAAGCAAGGATGTTACTTTGAGAACTAAGGTGCACCTGGTGTTTTCAATTGTTTCACATGCATGTGAAATGTGGTCATTGAATCAGGAATACAGAAGAATTGTATTTTAATTATGGTGCCAGTGAAGAAGGTGGAAACTGTGACGGACTGTCAAAAGAACAAACAATCTATCTTAGAAGGAGTACAGCCAGTATGCACCTTAGAGGCAAGATGGCGAGAGTTCTCCTCACGTACCTGATGACATGTTATTAGAAGAGACCGGTTCTATTCTGGAGCAGGACATCACGCTTGGTAATGTAGAGGGGAAGTGAAAAAGAAAGCCCTTCACAAGATAAATTGACACCATGGCTGCATTTTTGAGGATTGTGCAGAAGTCTTCTGTTCTGTTGTACACAGGGTCACTATGAGCCTGAATCGAGTCAACAGCACCTAACCCCACCACCGTGGAATGAGCACAAGGCAAACACTGCCATTATAAATAGGAGAGCGTGGAAGGAATGAAGAGATAACAGGCATCCAGCAATTCCAAAACCCAGCCTCATAACACAACCTTAGCTCTCAACGCTTCTAAAAGATGTGCTATTATCTGGGACACTCTGAGCAATGACCTTGCCCTCCCTATGCTGAGTGCTGATGACATCCTCTGGATTGTGCAGCAGGTCCCTCAGCTCTGAGCGTCAGTTCTCCCTACCAGATTCATAAGATGACTACTTTGTTCCTTTGCCTCCGGGTGCACTCATTATGTTAGTTCGTCTGGGCGGCTTTCCACCTTCGAGGGTCAAGAAGTCCCTCTCGGCGTGTCCGCTTCTTCCCCTCAGTTTTAGGTGGTGGTGTAATGCCTTCGGTGCACCTTTCTGACAGAAGCACTCTATGAACGTTTGATTTATTGAAACTTAAGACACTGTGGTTCCAGTTTGAAGTCCAGCAGACCACAACCCATTCTTCGAAATGAAGAAAGCCTTTCTTTCTGTGCTTCTAACCACTCTCCTGGTCTCCAAGATGCTCCCGGGATGGCTCTCTTCTTTACGAGGAGGACAAAAATGTACTTCCTTCGACAGGTTTCCTGTCTGTAGAGTTGATTCCAAGAGGTAGACAGCAGACTTCCTTTCTTCCTTCTTTCGCTGACCCCTTTTGTCTACAACGATAGGCTTTCTGCTACTGTGCTTGGTTAGCTCCATCAGTCACAGGCTTAATCATGAAAAATGTAAAAAATTTACCAAAAGATCACAGGGCCACATCTTTGGTGAAAATTCTAGGGCATATGTCCTTGGTTTGTATGACCGAATTATCCAAATCTTTAAGTTTTGTTTTTGTTTTGCAAAATTGAGTTTTGTTAATTCCATCTCTTTTCACTCATATTTTCCCATAGGCAGAAAGGAGAAACTTCACAGCCCCTATCAGACATTTCTTAGAAATCTCAGGAGCCCAATATCCAAGTTCATCACTTATACTTTCTACATTGCATCAAACATTGGAACCCAATTCAAACACGGTATTTGCTACTGCATAAAAAGCATCACTTTCCCACCAATCAGAGAGTCATCATTTTCTTTTAAAACTTCACCAGCGGCGTATTCCCTGTGCACATCTCTAGCACTCTGCTAAGCTGTGCCATGTACATGCTCTGCACTGGTCTCCGCACATCCTCCTGGTCCTTCGCTGAAATCCCGCGATAGCCACGATTCTACCAATTGTCTCTTCAAGGCAATCTAGACTTGTACTATTTTAAAACTCACAGCCATCATTCATTCCAACTCATAGAGATCCTCTAGGACAGAGTAGGACTATTTTTATTAGTAGGCAACTTAAAACTCTGCCAGCCTCTATCCATTACCCAATTCCAAAATGATGTCCTCAGTTTGGGTATCTGTTTGAGCAGCACCCTCAAATTGTATCCCACGTCAGGTACCAAATTTTGTCTTAGCTATTAATGCTGCTATAACAGAAATACCACAAGTGTGTGATTTTAATGGTAGAAATTTATTTACTTATAATTTTAGGAGGCTAGAAGCATAAACATAAAGTGCTATCTACAGGAGAGAAGTTTCTTCTCACTATTGGCTCTTCGCCTCTTAGAGCTTCTCCTCCTGGACAATGTTCATGTGGCTCGACATCTCTGCTTGCTAACATATTTAAATATCTTTTATATTTCAAAGAGATGGGCAGGATAGTCCCTATGCAAACTCCGCCTAGTCAACACACGCCAATGACAACCCATTCCCATATAACGTGTTAACCACTGGCATACAAGTTAGGATTTACAGCACATATCTTGAGGAGCTACAATCCATAACTACCACCCTAAATCACATTTAGAAATGATAATAAATGCTAAAAGTATATGATGGCATATTCTGGACATTAATTTCATATTCCTCCTATCAGGGAAGGCATAACAACGGGCATTTAACTAGCTAATTCTGTAGGTACAAAGTGGAAGATTGATAATATAAGAACTCACAGCCCAACATGAAATTAAGATTTCCTGGTACACGTGGCAGAGTCGGCATAAGTGAATATTGCCATGTTATCCAATTATAAGAGAGAAATCCAGGAGGGGTGAAAATGCCTACCGTAGCTTATCAGTATTCATTCAAGTCTGCTGATGGTGAAAATATTTCTGGCTTTTAAAAAAAGCACTTTTAATTTGATCTCATTAGGGAGATTAGTAAAATAAAAGTGATTCTGCATGATGGAGACAATTTAATTGAACACAAGGTTAAAACATAATTATAATGGAAAAATGTTTGAGAACTAAATGCCATAACCCCTGAAATATATTTATAGGAAATGAAAGCAAAATCAAAGTTCATGTTCTGCTAACAAGTATCTATATGCACACAGCTATATGCACAGATTTTTTCACATTTTGACATTGAAAAGTCTTCATTGTAACTAATTTTGTAGAAATGTAAAGATTTCCAGTAATATATGAAGTCATATTATTAATCAACATAAGCAGCCCTCACAGTAATATAATTGAAATCACTGATGATAACAAAATACAAACTGACTAAATTAACATTGACTCATCTATTATACAGTAATTGCTAAATAACTGTAAAATGCATTACCTTCTGTTTTTACTGTTCCAATTATTCCGTCCTTTTCTACCCACTTCAACTTATATCTCCACGTATCCAAAAAGAAGGCGAAAACCAGTACTTACCAAAATGGTGGTAACAATCAGAGAGCGATTGGATAAGGAGTCTGTGATGTTGGCTGGCTTTCCCTTTTGACTTTCTGTCATGTTCAGGCCACTGGCTGGATCCCAAGTGCCAATCTATAAAATAGCATATGTACTTTGTAAATTGTCCATCAGGCACCCGAGAGAGAGTGCTGTAAGAGAAAGTTAAGACTCCTAACGCTTATTCTTCTTCTCTGCTGCATGATCTGCTGTCGTTAAGGAAAGGCTGCTTGTCTCCAGCATGATTCACAGCGCTGTGAAGTGTGCCCAGTGAAGTGTGCCAGTGAAGAACAGAGTGATCCACTGCACTTCCACAGTCAGCGCGGGAGCTTAATTTTCCATTTAGACTTTCATTCCCCAAGATAAACCACATTTGATGATACCTTGATAGCTGGCTAGAAACTCATTAATAGTACATATCTTTCACTATAATGGATCTATCACCTTCTCTCATTATAAAGATACCATGCCATAATATACGGACATATAGCGAAATGCCATAACACAGCGGAAGGATAGAGTGAATCCTGGAGGAGGCATTGGCTGGTGTGCTGCATAACCTCCCGTGGGGCCAAACTGTCTCAGAATTACCTCTGGAGCTTTTACAAATATATATGTACACCTTTCAAATACCCCCAGACAAGGAGCGCTGTCTAGTCTAATAGCACATAATGCGTCCCAACTGTACTCCATTTACTCTAAGCATCTTAATGTAACTAATTTAACTACAGAGAGTCCTCAACTTACAGCATAATTGAATATGATGAATTGCACCCATGACTCTCCGTACTCTTGGGGGATTGTTGTACATCATATTAGAAAACTGACTATATACTCTTGTATATGGATAATTTGCCACTGTGTACGCATAATTTGCTGAAGTAATCATTCTCAGACGTCTTCTCACAGGTGTGCCATGTTAAGATACACTGTTTAAAGCATTGCCACAAAGCAGGTTATGGTACTAATAACGGAAACTAAAAAAAATGAGGTATTCAACTAGGTCAGAAACTAATGTGGTCAATGGGAAGAAATTATTTTATAAATAGAGAACTATCTGTTTTACCCTCTGATAGTTTAGGCCAATTATCTGCATTTGGGCATTTTCCACACTTTTAGCATAGTCTTCCGGATAACACAGACAAGGGGCTAGCGGACAAATGCTACCAAGTGCATCGAACGGGTGGTTTACATGCATCTACACTGCTGAGCAGTCATGTAACAATGGCCATGCCTAAGGGAGAAGAGAACAGAGGAGCTGTCGAAGGAAGGGATCATGAACCATGAAATATACCCCTTTCAATTAGCCAATTTGTCTCCTTCAAAAGGAAGACAAATTATTATTTTATTTTAAAATAAACCTTTATATACATAGTGAATTACCATAGAAATGATATCACTACAGCAGATATTATTTTCTCTACTGAAAATAGTTTGCTACTCATGGTCACACTAGCTTGACCTTATTAAAATTAAATATCAACATTCTTTCATTTTCTCTGAATTTCATAATATCCACATTTTTGATCCCTTGTGAACTTGTCTGGCTTTCCTAACAGCCTCTTTAAATGACTAGCTTCCTTTAATTGTTGCTGCTGCTGGATCTCCTCAGCAGTTGTGACTCATAGTGACTGCATTCACAAGAGAACAAGGCCTCCCCAAGCTCTCACCATCCTCCCAACTGTTGCTCCCTTTAACTGGTGAAGCGCAGAAACAGACTCAGCACAGTATTAATTTCTGTTATTAATAAGAAAAGTAGAAATGTCATTATTATAGTTATATACAGGTGCAAACCCTTCTATAGTTTTCAACAATGAATTTAACTAAATAAACAGCTATTGATTGTAAAATATTTTTAATGATGCCCCAAACTGTTTTTCTAGCAAGTGTTATGGATTGAATTATGCCTATCCAAAATTGTGATGGAGTTCTAACCCCTATACATGTTTGCTTCAGTCCTAGAGAATATAGAGTTTCAGTCCTAGGTAAACTAGGGAAACAAATTTAGAGACATTCATATATATGTAAGAGAGAGCTTATATAACAGAGCAATTTTATATTGAGCAAACATCACAACATGGTCCATATTAAGTCCATAAGGTCAGTGTTAGCCCATATGTCTGATAGCAGTCTATAAATTCCTCTTCAGACTCACACAGCACATGTAATGATGCCGAATGTAGAAAGATCACAGGCAAGTGAGTGGAAAGTCTTGTTGATCCAGTGGTGGTAGAAGCTTCTTAGTACTGGCATGGGTCTCCATGTGGCTCTTCCAGCTCCAAGGCTCTAGTCCCATCAGGGTATCTCCATGTGTCTTGTCAGCAGGAAGAAGAAGGAGAGAGTGTGTGTCTCATCTTCAGGGAGGAAGACAGGAGTTTCCCCAAATCCTCAGGATAAGGCCATGCCCACAAGGACGCATTATTGGGTATGACCTGATTGACAGGCTAGACCCCACCCCTTCCCAAGTTGACAGAAGATTATGTAACTGTCACAGTGTTGATGCGATCTTAATTGGAAATACGGTTATCGTTGTCAGGTTATTGATGTATTGTGCTCATGATCTATATGAAATGCATCAAATTTAAAATTTTAGAAAACAAACATTCTGCTAGCTAAACAAGACAAAACTGTAGATACTATTTTGTAGTAACTGGCCTGGCCTGTAATTAATACCTATCACACATTTGTTCCTGTAGCTTTTACATCCTTTCTTTCCCACCATTGGTTAAATAGCTATGTCTATTGGACACATAATTCTACCAGCCAATGCAATACCAAACATCAGTTCCCCATTGTTGTTAGATGTCTCAAGTCGGTTCTGATTCAAGGCAACCCCAACACTGCCCAGTCCTGCACTATGGTCACAACTGATGTTGTGCTTGAACCCAGTGTTGCAGTCACTGTGTCAATCCATCTTGTCAAGGGTCTTTCTCTTTTTTGCTGCCTTTCTACATTACCAAGTATGAGGTCCTTTTGTAGGAACTGGTCTCTCCTGATAATGTGTCCAAAGTATGTGAGACAAGGTCTCACCATCACAGCTTCTAAGGAATATTCTGGCAATGCTTCTTTTGAAACAGTTCTGTTCTTTTGGTAGTCCATAGTATTTTCAATTTTCTTTGTCGGCACCATCATGCAGGTGAATTTAATTTTCTTTGGTCCTCCTTATTCTCTGTCCTTATTTCACATGCTTATGAGGCAATAGAAAACACATGGGTCAAGCACACCTTAGCCCTCAATGTAATATCTTTGCTCTTCAACACTTTAGAGAGCTATCGTGCAGCAGATTTACCCAGTGTAGTGTATCCTTTGATCATTTGACTTCTGTTTCCATGAGCATTGATTGTAGATCAAAACAAGATGAAATCTTTGACAACTTCAATTGTTTCTCTGTTTATCATGATGTTACCTATTGGTTCAGTGATGAGGATTCTTGTTCTCTTTACGTTGATTTGTAATGAAGGCTATAATCTTGATTAATTCAGGAAGTGCTTCAAGTCCTCCTCACTTTCAGCAAGCAAGGTTGTGTCATCTGCATATTGGGACTTGTTAATAAACCTTCCTCCAATCCTCATCCCCTGTTCTTCTTCATATAGTCCAACTTCTGGGATTATTTACTCAGCACACAGATTGAATTAGCATGGTGGGTGCAACAAGCCTTAGAGGGATTTCACAAGGTCATCTTTTGGCCCCTGTCAACTTGTTTTACTTTTTTTAGCTTGAACCTGAACCTACATATGAGCAATTGATGGTCTGTTTCACACTCAGCAACTGGCTACAGATACTGAGCTTTTCCATACTCCTCGTTTCTTCCCACAGATGCAGTCATTTTGATTTCTGGGTATTCTCTCTGTAGAAGTCTACATGTACAATCACCTTCTGTGTTTTGAAAAAAAGTATTTATGATGAAATAGTCATTTGTCTTGAAAAATTCTACCTTGCAATTTCCTGCTTCATTTCTATCACCCAAACCATATTTTTCAACTACCGTTCTCCCTTTTTGTTTCCAACTTTTGCATTCCAATCATCAAAGATCATCAATGCATCAGATTGCATGTTTGATCAATTTTAAATGGAAGATTGTATGGATAGGCACAAAAGTTGGCACAATACTATATCTGTCATGAGCAAAGAACACCAGTAGTATTTCTCTCCAGTAGGCCTATGTGAAATAATAACAAATCACAAAGTATATTATGTTTCCATGGTATTGACACAGTGTGTTTTCATAGACTAAGTTCATCTTAAAAAAATGAGCCCCACGTTGACTGAACAGGTGTAGGAAGAAGGGTGTGAATGGACCCATGGATATACCTAGATTGGACAGAGGACAGCTGCCAACAGATCCATGAATGCGGGGGGGCATTCATTACGAAGGTTTCTTAGACACAACTAACCTGCTGGAGAGTAAGACCTGCTAGCCTAGGGGAAGAGGAAGAATGTCTCAAAGGGCTCGAGGGTCTACTGACATAACATGGTTCACAAACACAGGGTTATAAATCCTGTCCAGGCAAGTGGAAATGGAGGTCATAAATGCTCTTGAGCAGCCATTTAAGATGCAACCAGTGGTCTCTCCCTCTCAGGCTGAAAGAGAAGTGATGAAAATAAGACATATGGGAAAAAATTAGTTCAGTGGACTACTGGAAACTGAAAATAATAGTCTTCATGATTCACAGGCCAGAACTCGATGGTGCCCGGCTACCATTACCATACTCTGAAAAGGATTACTTTGCAAGCATCCAGATAGAGTGAGTAGAAAATGTGGAACAAAAATCAAAGTCACAAAGTAGACCAGACTTATCGGTCAGAAAGAAACAAATGGGCCTAAAAGTGGAAATGGAAAGACCATCATGATAAACAAATACATAAAAGTGAGTCATGTGAAAGAAAAAGGGCAGAGTCTGCCCAACTTCAAGACTCAGAGGCCAGGAAAGGAGGAAGACACTAGCAACACAGGCAAAAAGCAGACTGAGTGACGGGACATCTGAGAACGTTGTACAAGACGATTTGACACAAAACGTATATGAATTGCTGTTTATAAGACTGAATGTCTGCCCTTTAAAGATTCACCTAATATACAAGGAAAATATTTTTTAATA